CCGTTGAGAAAGTTGTCTATGCTCGATTTATTCGAAGGTTACAGGCAAGCTTTTAGAGTTGTCCTGCTAGCGTGACGTAAGTGTTTGTTACGATACGATGCGAGTGTCGTAAGAGTATTATACGACACACTATGAGGCTTGTTGCATATGCAATACCACGATATGTCTTGCCTGCTCCTGACTTCATGAAATTGCAACGTTATGCCCTTTACAAACGTTATCTTCACCCAAGTATTGATTTGAGTGTTTCTGTATTATTTGAACAAAATAAAGAAAGAAAATATGATGTGGTGATTCTTCTTAAATCTTAAAATTATGTTTTAGTTTTACGTTAAAGTCGAAATTTAAGTTAAAATTCACGTATGATCATGAAGTATAATCTTTCGTATAAAAGAGTGTGGAATGGTCTGCTCATTATTTTATGTTGAACTTTTTAGATTGGAAGCCAAGAGGAATTTTCAAAGTGATTATGCATTTATTTTTTTTTATTTTTATTTTTTCAAAAAGTGTATCTCTGAATAATGGTAACAAAAGCATAAAGGTAAAAAATTTCATTTAATTTCCCCATAAAAAAATTAGCCGGACTTTATGAAATTAAGGCAATAGAAGTGTGTAAAATAATTAGTTATTTGAAAATATCTAGTGTCGAAGACAAATCTGAACATAAAAATTAAGATGACACAAGTGGATATAAAAATATATACTTTATTCTGCAATGTTCAGATTTGAGCAGGTATTATTTCGGTCTATATACCACTCATGCAAATTGAATTTTTATTGTCTACTTCAGATGCCCTACTATTCATTAGATGAAGTACTTAGCTAGTGAATATTAGTTTACTAATCGATAAATTCGCATGTATAGCCTGATATCGTGTACGTTTTTTTTATGAACTATTGATGAAAAAATTGTCATGGTAAATTTGTACAAAGCTTCGCTTTCACTTAACATCGCTTTCGATTTTCACTTTTTTTTACTTTCATTGTATCGGCATGAAATGTCATCGTGTCAAAACTTATAATTGCTGGTTTCAAATATTGAAGCGTACATATTATTGAGATTAATGTCCAAATAATTGTGATATAATAATATGAATAATAAATATTTTCACTGTCCTTCATGTTCAATTTATATGACTTTGACTTTTTGGCTCACCACTCATTCGTCATTTCTACTATTAATATCATTTCATTATCTTTGTATAAAGATATTCCATTTTTTATTTGAATGAAGATAAGAATTATTCAGAATTTCTTTCATATTTTGTGAAAGAATCTAAGACCTGCACCAAAATTTCGATAAAAATCTCCGGATTGTTTCCACTTTGTGAAGCAAAAAAATTAAATTTGTTCAAGCAATCAACTAAAGAAATATACAACTTTTTATCAGATATTATGAATATTTTGCCATAAAATTTACATCGTTGGCATGATAGACGGATAAAATTGTCTGCTAATAAAGTTGGAATTTCAAGAGTTAATTCTTCATATAAAAGGATTTAAGTGGACCAAAGTGGGTGATCCTGACATTAAAACCGTTGAATGTACCTAACGAATTTATAATTACCAATCTAATAGAAGGAAAAATGTATTAATAACTTTTTACACGAGTTCTTCTTTATGGTTCGAGCCATACTTTCTTACTTGTAATTCAAGTTTTTTTCTGCCTCGATTCAATTAATAGCGATGCTCGAACCAAGTTTTGTGCGCAATTGAAGAAAGAAAATTATTTTATGGTTGGTGATTATCTTATAATGGTGTGCTATTTATTTAAGTTATTTATTTAAAAAATCAAATAAGGATATTGGATTTTTTAAATAAATAACTATTGATGCTGGTAGATAATTACTATTGTTATTAATAAAACTTTAATTTTCAAACTCCTCCTTAGCATGATAATTTTTTAACGCTGTTCAAATAACTAGCAAATGAAAAACTAGTAGAGATGACCTTGAATTTTAAAATATTTCATGAAATTACATATTACAAAATGCTTTGATTTAATTACTATGCTTCAAATCAAATTTTTTCGTTTAGAGATTTAATGGACGCATGTGTACAATAATATTTTTTAAGGTATAAAAATTAAAATCATTCTATATTATTAGAAGTTCTTATCATTATTTATGTTATTATTATTATATTATTATCATTATTATTTAATAATATATTATATTTATATAATATTTTAACATTCTCATTTTACAAAATACTGATGAAAATAAAACCGAAAATAGGCATATACCTCTTTGCGACTCCCGATGCATCTCTTCCAGTCACCGTTTCCTGACTGGAATTATACGTTATACCTAGCGTTTCTTCGAGCAGTTTCTCAATATATAATATGTAGAGCAGCATTGGTACTCTTGCGAGACATTTAGGACACTTGCGAGACATTTAGGACACTTGCGAGAGCGAGCGTGACCAGGATACGGGCCTTGCGTGACACGCACGATGTTGTTCAACACCGCACATACAAAACGTAGGTTTTGTCACACGGAGCATCATAAGGTTGGAATATAGAGGAAAAATGGAAGTCGAATGATTTTAACTCTGATTCTACTGATACATTAACTACCTTCAATGATATTATTTGCATCCGAGGACTCGAATGAACTTGAGTTGATGGAAATATTGTTTTTAGTTTAGAATGATTTTTTCATTGAAAACTGATTATAACCAAAGAATGATTCGTTCGTTATAACCTCTGGTCATGTCTTACAAAATTAATTATAGCTTCTTATCGTGTTGTGTAAAATGTATTATAACTTCTTATCGTTTCGTGTAAAATTCATTATTTTATGCCAGACCGTTTCGTGTAAAATTCATTACGATGTCTTATCGCGTCGTGCAAAATTCATTGTAATGTCTTAATGTGTCATGCAAAATTCGTTGTAATGTCTTATCGTGTCGTCTATAAATCATTATAATGGCTGACAGTGTCGTGTAAAATCAATGTCTTATCCTGTCGAGTAAAATTCATTACAGTCTTCGGCTATGAGTGAAGGACAGCTACAGTATACATGTATATAAGCTCCCATCAATTACTGGGAATTCGTGCGGAATTCATGTGGATGAAACACAAGCGCCACAGATTGACTTTCATTGAGCAGTGCGCTCTCCATTTGTTAGAGTTCAAAACTACATAAGAAAATATCATTTGCTATGTAATATAATGATATAATAATGAAGCTGTATGTAAAGCGAGCCACCTAATATTCAAAAGGGTAATCGTTAACTTAAAAATTGGAAAACTAGTATTAAGTTAAATAAAAAAGTAAAGTAAATACAAAACCCCACATTGCCTTGCTATTATCCTAAAAATTGGATTTATACATTTGAATTTTAAAGGGAGTTGCAACTGATATAAAAAGAAACAGAAGTGACTTGCATTTCTTAATTTTGTATTAAAATTTTGTGTAAATTTTACATTCATCTATTATAATTAGCTAATAATTGAATATATCAGTTCCAAAACCTTCATTAAAGATCGAACCCCCTAGTCTATGTTCTTTGTTTAACATCTGACTAAGGAATAATTTTTCCAGAACATAGAAATACAATAAAATGAGCCGTATGATTATGAAAAAATGCATAGACGAAACCAAATAGCTTTCGCCGTTCGTAATTTTCATTAAAATGATCTTTTTGTTTTTATAATTGATGTCCCTTGCCTTGTTGGAATGCACAGTGGAGGAAATGTTTGCATTTCTGGTTATGAAATTATACCAATTTTATTAATAAAAGTGAAAAATTCATGACATCAAACTAAAGATGATGGTTCTAAAGATTAGTACTTATTGGTGCGTCTATTTTAAAATTTTCGAAAGCGCAAAATAGTTGAGAAGTGAGCGAAAATCTACTATTATAAGATGCCTATTTTCTCGTATTACTAAATTATATAAAATCGTAAGACTCGTACTTTATTGAGTAAATTGAATAATGCAACGAGAACTGGAACTAATGCATGTAAGTATATAATCAGATGAATACATTTAATACTATAGGTATAATGGTTTAGAAATAAATGCTCAGCTAGATTTGCCGAGTAAATCTAAATGTTTAAAATCTAGATTTCTACAGAGTTAGAAGCTAGAATCGTAGCTCCTATATGCAACGATTATAATAATATAAAGATTGTAAAAAGATTTTAATTTGGAGTGTATCGGATTTGGTGTATCCCGGAGATGACTAAAAGAAGATAATAATATTTAAAGTGAGTTTTTCATCGAATTATTATCTTTTTATGGAGACATTTCCAGACGGATAAAAATACAACTGAATATTAATAGCAACATTTTATTCGTTTTGTCTAAACAATATTACAATTAACACATAAAAGCCATGAAAATTCTCCTTCACATACTCTATCAGTCTTCATATTGTTCATCGTTTCTAATGTCTGTTCGCAAACACATAGTTTCGTATATGGTTGAAATGTATAAGAATAAAAATATTTGCAACAGTCTTTTTTTGGCATGGATGCGAAATTTTTCTTTCCGCAAAAATGCATAAAATATTTGTAAGTGATTCTTCGAGATATATATTAAACTGTCAAAATTGGTGAAGATTAGATATTTAGTTATCATAAACAAAGACTAGAAACTCAGACGCCAAAACTTTAGAAAAATATAACCATCTCGTTGTAGTCATAATTTTTATTTTAACTGATATAAGTAATTATTAAATATGAGATCCGAATTAACCTAAGTTAGGTTACTAATTGAGACGGGTTACATCCCAAACTTCATGCTGGTACAATTTAAAGCTATTTTAATATCGGCAAAAATAATTCCAATATTAAAAAATTAACTATTTCTTGTATGAAATGAAATCAAACTATTTATATAAATATTTCTCAAATGTACAGTAATACAATTTTTATAAGTTTTTTAATATTATGTGATAGTTTGTAGAAAATTAATGGTAACTCATGTTGGTAAACTTTATTTATTTTTTTAAAAGGCCTTCCACACTCACCATTCCAATGAACCAAACCGTATATGAATAATGAATTTAATTGATTTAAGTGAAATTAATTTAACCTAATAATGGAATCGTACAAATTAGTTTATTGAAATACCACAAGTTCCGACGAAATATCTAACCTAAGTAATGGAAATTTTCGAAGTAATCATTTTGGATTGAGTCCTGATTTGAAACTCAGATTTCCACGGAATCGTCGTTCCGATTGAAAACAATTGTCCAGAAGTCAATTCAATACATTTCAGTGACCATGCCATTAACATAACTTTCGATCGACCTAATGTTCAATTAACTTCTCGACAAGAATGTCTCTATTCCTCAACATTATTCGATGAACTTTCGGTTTAAGTGCTCGTTTTTTCACTATAGGTCAAACATTTCGAGATTTTTCGAATTGTACATTTTATCTATACATATGTGGATGAACCATTTGATTTTCCAGAGCAATCCCCTTTTGGTTCAGTATTTTTAAAATTCGATTTATGAATTATTTTATAATTCAACGTGATTCAAGAATAAAGTTCACAGTTCTGTATTTTGTCTACGGGAAGAACATGTTGTTGATATCTCCGTCTAGCGCTGTAACTTGGTTGATGTAATAGATCCTGTTAACCATAGCGTCCAAGTCTATAACTCTGGACCCTGTTTTCTGTGCAATGTTGTCTTGAATAAATGACTTGAGTCCTGCTTTGATGCATGCCATTTGTTGACGATTGCGCGTGCATTGCATGAACGATAACACGCGCTGGATGTTGGTGCTGGCCAGATGTGGGATGAACGTCTCGCAGCCCTGGTGAATACAAATAATGGGTATTGTAATGGACATAGGATTAATTAGAGAGGTTATATTTACTAAATTGGATATATATGCTGTAAATATCTATGTGTAAATGTGTTGACTATAATTTTTGAACATTGGAGTAATTAAAACGATTAAATTTGCCATAATGTTTGTTTGGAAAGGTTAATTTTTTCTTTGGATTTTAATGATTCCGAACATTAGATGGAAAAATTTTGAAAAAATTCGAGAATGTGTAGTGTTCAACTTACTAAGTATTTTGTCATGGAATAGAAAAAGTTAGCATAATTTTTCTAGGGCATATAAAACGTAAACCTAACAGGTATTTAAATATATCAAATTAAGATCTGAACTTAGAATAACCGAAATTATAAGCAAAAAAGTGGTGTATTGAGTTTAAATTCTGTGACACCGCATTTGTGAAAAATGTGGTAAAAATAACTCTAAGAACTTGATGATTTACCAACAAGAGGGAATATTTTGCCATACCTTTAAGCGATAACAGGAGTGCGAATAAAAGCTTAAACAAATGCGGAAAAACAAAGGATTACTGCTAATCCATTTTTACAGGTATGAAACACAACGTGCAATATACCTTAAATTCCAATAATCTACTCTAACTTAATGTACATCGCAAGAAAAACATGTTTAACTGGAACACATTGCTCGGAAAATCGACGAGAAAAGGTCTCAACGGCATTTCAGTGGTAGGCCAGAACGTGAAAAAATCACCGTGTCGCCGTTTTTTCAATTTAAAACAATAAACCCATACCATATAAAAAAACGGCGAAACGGGTTGTTTTCACGGAGCAGTTGGACACTAGAAGGCCGGGCAAACCTTTTTCTCACTGTTCTTTTGTACAGTGCATACATTTACTATATTGCAAGAAACAGCAGCAAAGGAGCTAGATAAATCTAGCTATTTTATCTATTTAAAATGGCTTTAAAAACTATTTTCTAGAGATTTTAGTTATAGAAAAAACTAAAAGAAATTTTTCTATAGGTTTTAGCTAGTGAGAATAGCTAAAAAACTATTTGCTATAGATTTTAGCAATAGAAAATAGCGATAAATGCCATTATACGTACAGTGACTCGGTGACACTCGTCCAGAGCTCGTATGAAGTCCTCCTTCACTTCAGGAGGCAGGTTGGCTCGACTTGTGTTCTCTTTAATGACATCAAAACGCAGTTCACCGTCCTCATTAATCTGCGTCATGAAATAAAACTCTGTTTTCATATTAGTGCGCCAAACAGAAACGCAGTTTACCTTCCACGTTGATCTGCGTCGTGCAATAAAACTCTTTTTCATATTAGTGCGTCAAACAGAAACGCAGTTCACCCTCCTCATTGATCTGCGTCGTGAAATAAAACTCTGTTTTCATATTAGTGCGTCAAACAGAAACGCAGTTTACTGTCCTAATTGATCTGCGTCATAAATAGACGTCGTGGTTTTCAGAGTAATGCTTCAGAGATATAGACAGAACATAATCTGCGTCAAGTAAGAGACGTGGTTTACATAATAATGCGTTTGTTCTGCAGACATTTGGACTAGTGCTAAGAGAAGTCTTGAAGAGTTTCATATCGATCGAAAATTAATGTAAAGAATAGTTTCTCTAGAGTGATAAAAGGATTTTCAGAAACTTTTTGCTGCACATCTAAATTTTCAAGGCAAAAAGATAGAGCAATTTTTCGGGTATAACCACATACTAACGAATGGCGAAACCGGGCACTTACAGTCCAAAATTCACTAACCATGCTGACATTTTTATATATTCAGATGATGCAAAACTCACGACTCCATGAGCCCTAAAAACTCCAGCATGGAGCATCACTAACTACTCCAAGTGCTTCCACTTTGCCCCTTAGAACTCCAGCATTGAGCAACACTTACGACTCCAAGGACCATGAGATCAAGACTTATGGCTCCATGGAGCAACACTCACGACTCCAAGGACCCTGAGATCAAGACTTGGCTCCATGGAGCAACACTCACTACTCCAAGGACCCTGAGAACTCAAGCATGGAGCAACACCCACGACTCCAAGGACCCTTAGGGCAAGACTCGCGGCTCCATGGAGCTAGACTCACGACTCCAAGGACCCTGAGAGCAAGACTCACGGCTCCAAGGAACCTGAGAGCAAGACTCATGACTCCATGGAGCAAGAATCACGACTCCAAGGGCTTCCACTTTCCCTTTCCAGCATGGGACAACACTCACGAATCCAAGGACCCTGAGGGCAAGACTCACGGCTCCATGGAGCAAGACTCACGACTCCAAGGAACCTGAGAGCAAGACTCATGACTCCATGGAACAAGAATCACGACTCCAAGGGCTTCCACTTTCCCTTTCCAGCATGGGACAACACTCACGACTCCAAGGACCCTGAGGGCAAGACTCACGGCTCCATGGAGCAAGGCTCACGACTCCAAGGAACCTGAGAGCAAGACTCATGACTCCATGGAACAAGAATCACGACTCCAAGGGCTTCTACTTTCCCTTTCCAGCATGCGACAACACTCACGACTCCAAGGACCCTGAGGGCAAGACTCACGACTCCATGGAGCAAGACTCACAACTCCAAGGGCCTCCAGGACGCAGGTATGGTTGTCGAGTTGCTCCTTGACACGGCGTTCCCGGTCCAGCATGTTCTGGACGAACGCTCTGAACGCGTCATCCTTGTCTTCCTGTCTTATTTGTCTTCGCTGATTAGAAATGGAAATTTTCAATTTACAATAAGAAATAAGAATGAGTGTTTGTTTTCATGTATTAATAACACAATGAAAATTTTTATTTCATGCTGATAGATAAAAATGCGATAGTTCTACCCATTAATAACATGATAAAAAATTTCCTGGTATTATAAATAATCAGTATTAAATAACATAATTAAATTTTTAATAAATTATTGATGCAAGTTCTCAAAGTGTATAATGTCCACATTCATTTTAGTGATTTACGTTCAAAAAAAAAAAAGAATAATTTCACTTTTTAAAAATTAAGTGTTATCACTGCCCAGTTTAATTAAACATATCATTCATACTATGCCATGATTTTCCTGTAAACTCATCATACCTAACGTAATATCAAAACTATTAATTGTCTGTTTTGAGTAATAAATCTGATGACGTTATGGAATTACTATTCAAGTTTTAATTTTCAATTTAGAATTCATTTCTCTCCTTCGAAGCACTTCTCACCTGCCGTGATCTCAAGATATTTTCGCCGTCCACAGGATGAACGAAAATAGGAATCTGATCCTGTTGGTAAAATAATAATAATATAATAAGGATAATAGTGAGTGGGATGAAAGTTCAGTAAATGCAATAAATATTGAGAGGGTAATTGAATGTTTATTAAAAAAACACACATGAAAAAATGAAATCATCGATCTTAAATACCAACTGCATTGGTTCATTAAATAAACTGCTTGAAGAACTGCAATAAAGAGGTATAAAATGTTTGATTAAACTATAATTTAGAAAAAAACTAATTTCTGCTTTAAATGACTTAATTTTGGCATACTAACAAACAGCGTGAACCAAATAGGCTGGATGGCGTTAATTGAAAGGTCTGGATGCGTCTTGACAGAGCTGGACAGAATGGACGGATGATGCTGGATGGTCTGAAGCCCGGAGCTGGATCGATGATGCGTCAACTCCGGTGGATTGGTCACGAAAAGTTGGGATGCTCTGCTAGGTAGGAAGTTGTTGTGATATTTATTACAGGCGAGCTTAAAACGTGCTTAAAATTTTGTATCAATATATGATTGGAAATCAAAACGAAATTTGAATTTTGAGTCAGATTTGTATCTATCTTGAAATAAAACTTGTATCTATCTCAAAAGTAAAAAGCACGTTAATCCGTATCACGCGAAAATATAACAATCACTATAGTTTATAGATATAAAACGCACGTTAATCCGTATATTCTTACTGAAATGTAACAATCACTTTGGTTTATAGACATAAAACGCACGTTTATCCGTATATTCATGCTGAAATATGACAATAACTATAGTTTATAGACATAAAACTTACGTTAATCCGTATTTTCTTGCTGAAATATGAAAATCACTATAGTTTATAGATAAAATAAATGCTAATCCGTATTTTCTCGCTGTAATATGGCAATCACTATAGTTTATAGACATAAAACGCACGGTAATCCGTATATTCTTACTGAAATATTGCAATCACTTTAGTTTATAGGTAAAGGACATAAAACGCTCGTTAATCCGTATTTTCTTGCTGAAATATGGCAATAATTATAGTTTATAATATTAAACGCACGTCAGTCCGTATTTTCTTGCTGTAATTTGACAATCTCTATAGTTTATAGATAAAATAAACGTTAATCCGTATTTCTCGTTTATATAGGACAATAATTATAGTTTATAGATATTAAACGCACGTCAGTCCAAGCTCGGAGGTGACCGAGGCTTGCCGCTGGCGTGGCGTTCTGCCGGTCTGGGTGCTGCTGCTGGGGACTTTAGGGAGCCTCCTGCTGCAGGCCAGCGTCAGCAGCTCCACCTTGCGGCTCCACGCGAACGACAAGTCGTCGCCTAGGCAGTCCCGCCACATCTGCACATGAGGATTATGTGGTGGAATGATGGGGAAAAATTTAATTGATTATTGAGGGATCCTCGCGAATGACTAGTCGTCGCACAGGCAATCCCGCGACATCTGTGGTTGAGGATTATGTGGTGGAATGATGGGGAAAAATGTATATTATTATTGAGTGGCTACAAGAATAGGTCAAGTCGTCGCCTAGGCAGTCCCGCCACATCTGAATATGAGGGTTATATGCGGTGGAATGATGAAAAAAATTAATTGTTTGATTCTTTTTTGTGTGGCTACGCGCGATCGACTAGTCGTCGATCGTCCATACAATCCCGCCACATCTGGAAACTGCGAATTTGTTGTAGAATGATGAGGAGAAAATTTAACTATTCAATTCTGTATTCTGCGGCCCCAAAGAATGTTAAGTTAAGAAATGATGGGGAAAAATTTAATTCATAATCGTGTGGTTGAAAGGATAGGCTAAGTCGTCGCCCAGACAGCCCCGCTATATCCAGAGTTTGAGAGCACTAAATTAAATAGCGAGAAAAAAAATTATTGAAAAATGATGATTAAAAAATAAAAACCCGTAGAAACATCACTCTGAAAATATGATAACAGAGAATTAATATTCAGAAGAAGAGTTGACTTGGAAAATAATTGGAAGTTAAGACCATAAGAATAGAGTACTAAAATTTGAAAAATAATATTATTAATGCCAGGTGAATAATTTTGACTAGGTGAACATAGTCGCTTGGATTAGGGCAAAAATATTGTAGTGGAAAGTTCGGCCTGAATTATTGGAAAATAATTTATTCATCATACATCAAAGATAAATAAAGAAAATAATAATCAATAAATAGCCATTTTATTAAGGCATATCATATATACATTAAATTTCGAACACATGATTGATTATTTGATGAATATTAGGTTATATGCTTTTTTTCTTCTTTCATAAAATCTATTAATCGCGGGCATTGCAATGAATAAAGAATAGAAATTATATTTTTTAGAATATGCAACATGATAACATTATAATACACTGCGGTACGATTGGAATTTATTGAGTGATAATTATGATATTATATTAGTTCTGAATGCTTACTTGATTAACTGCGTAATTGTGAACGAAGTCATCATCGGAGTTCAGTGCATGGCTGCCGCTACTTAAAAATGACACAATCATATAAAAAACAATCATCTCCGTTGATTTATTGTTCTTAAAAATTTCAGTATTTTATTGGTGTTTACATATACTTTTTATTTTAAAGTTTATTCGACGTAAAGATGCAGCTTTTGTTCCCGCTTTGAGTGAATTTTTCTTGCTACTTAAACGCTATTTATGTGATTGGTAAAATTAATCTGTATAATCTAATAATCTATATAAATAATCTAGCGTTCGAAGTGCGGGTCGAGTATCGTTTCCTATTTTGCTCAGAGTTTCGAAAAAAATACATTGTTAGAAAATTGGTTAGTTTTAAAATTTTTGAAATTTCATATTGATCATGCGTAGTTCAAGTTTCTTTAAATAAAAAGATATAATAGCAGTTTGTAAATTTTTCTGGTACATGGGGAAAATTTTATTCCTTCAAAGTGCACAGATAAAGAAAAAAGCACACACAGCTCTCGTCCATGTTTTTTGCATTCAAATTTTTTTCACAAACTAAGAGAATTTTCTGCAATGATTTTTAAATGACAATAATTTATTATTAATCCAAATTTGTATATAGATATTTTCAATGTTCATAATTGTTATAGCACAGCTCATTGACACAAGTGCGCACACCAACGAAGCGTACACGGTTGTGAGGGTCGGTTCAGGGTGACCGCCTTTATATACTCCAGCCTCCCCTTGGTCATCCGGAGCACGCCACAGGATTCGGAGAATAAACTAAGACGTGCAATTATGAATTCAGTAATAAATTGCACTTTATAATCGTGATTAGTTGTATAAGACAGGATTTCTGTTTTGATGGTCCAAGAACAGGTTTTCCCAGGTTTTTCCCTTGCCGGAATTAACTGTCTTAAAAACTGTCTTAAAATAAAAAACAAAAATTGCAACCGGTTAAAATTAGATTTATAAAGTATATGTGATCGTAAAATTTATAATATTTACTAACTATCCATTTATTTGAAGAAGACAATTAAAACAAATGCGCCATGAAATTGGTTGAAAGATTTTGTTATTTTGATAAATGCATTTATATATAAAAAGTATTTGATATTATGTCATTATCTTGAATAAGTAATAGAGGTATCTGCCGTGCACCAAGAAATTTCTACCAGTTCACTATCCCGAATAAATAACTAAGGAGCTGTCGTTCGTACTGTTTCATAATCCCAATAAATAACTAAGGGAGCTGTCGTTCGTACTGCTTCACTATTCCAAATAAATAACTAAGGAGCTGTCGTTCGTACTGTTTCATAATCCCAATAAATAACTAAGGGAGCTGTCGTTCGTACTGTTTCACTATCCCAATAAATAACNATATCCAAATAAATAACTAAGGGAGCTGTCGTTCGTGCTGTTTCACTATCCCAAATAAATAACTAAGGAGCTGTCGTTCATACTGTTTCACTATCCAAATAAATAAATAATGAGCTGTCGTTCGTACTGTTTCACTATCCCGAATAAATAATTAAGGAGCTGTTGTTTGTACTGTTTCACTATCCCGAATAAATAACTAAGATGGAGTAGCGTACATCGCGTGAGACATGACATTACGTTTTGTACGTCACTTGTTTCGGTCACAGCTCGTCAGTTACGACACTCCAGTGCATCGTGTGTGGACGATGGACAAGTCACTTCTTTGTTGCAGCAATGTAATCCTAGCATTAATAATAATAATGAGGAATAGAGGAAGTAGTCTCGGCTTGATGGATTGCATAATGTTGTATGTATGTATATAGGCAATGAAATGAACGAAACTTAATATTGTGATCATACAAAGTGTTTTATGTCCAATTTACTGCACTGTGCTCACTGTACACTGCACACTGTACACTTTATTGCAATGTGCTCACTGTACGCTGCACACTGTACTCTTTACTGCACTGTCCTCACTGTAGAATTTACTGCACTGTGCTCACTGTACACTGCACACTGTTCACTTTATTGCAATGTGCTCACTGTACGCTGCACACTGTACTCTTTACTGCACTGTCCTCACTGTAGAATTTACTGCACTGTGCTCACTATACCGTGGTTTTCAGAGAAATCTTCAGAGATTTAAACAGAAAATTGTCTGCGTCAAGAAAAAGACGGGATTTACAGACTAATGCGTTTGACCTGCAGACATTTGGACTATAGTTAAGAGAAGTCTTGAAGAGTTTCATATACAAGGTTTCATATACAATACAATCATATATAGCATATTTTCAAGGTACACTTTACTGCACTGTGCTCACTGTACACTGTACACTTGACTGCACTGTGCTCACTGTACACTGTACACTTGACTGCAGTGTGCTCACTGTAAGTTTACTGCACTGTGCTCACTGTAACTTTACTGCACTGTGCTCACTGTAACTTTACTGCACTGTGCTCACTGTACACTTTACTGTACAGTATATTAGTAGTTTGTATATTAGTTTTAGTAGTTTTGTATATTAGTAGTTTTTAAAGTCCAACTGGTAGAAATGAGCCCTTCATATAATTGAATAACTCAAACAATGATTAAAATGCGATTGTAGGTTAATCAGTATGGAGTGTTTATTAAACATGTACCTTACTTATCATTACTTTCTGTACCTAAGTTTATCATGATTATGCCCAAGCGGATTACACTGTCGACATTGAATTAACCTAATTTAAATTAATAAGTAGTATAGACAATAGGCCTATCGTCACACTTTCCATAAACAGCTTAAATCATAGGTTACCACAATCATTTACCCCGAATCTTACCCAACAAAATTAACTAATTACCTTCAATATTATTACGAACAATTACCCCGAATCTGCATAAACAGCTTAACAGGGTACCGATCATTTACCCAACAAAATTAACCAATTACTCCCGAATCATGAGTTTACCCCGATTTTACTACACTCTTTAACCGAAAACTCAGGACTTAACCTAGAGCGGTTGCCTGAAAAATACTTCTGTGGAATATATAATTGATTTAAAATTTTGAAATATTTTCCAGAACCGGGGTGCTCATCTTTATTAATCAACACAAAACTATAAGGTACTTTATACGTTTCATTACACAGTTCTTGAAACTCAATTACATTGTAGAGGGCTTGTTGTAAATTGTATTTTACTATTTTAATATTAGGCTTCTATTTAATATATAGGTTATATATAGGTCATTAAATATATAGGTATAAAGAAAGTTGGAATCGAGAATAGAGATTGCGGATTAGGAACGAGCAGTGAGAGCGTGGACTTGAAGTTGAAGACATCGTCACGTGTTGTGGAATGTAGCTGTTTGAACGAAGACTGTTAATTACCTCTGTGCCACGTGAACATGTGCTACGTATCCCAGTTTATCCAGAAAGTCTGTAATGATGATTGATGTGCAATAAAGTATTTTAATGATTGTTGTTTTTACCACCTGGCACCAGAACCTGCCACTATACGCAAGACAACACTATATTATGTTTTATTATATACAGTAATGCCGGACTATTATATTACATCCTAGCAGTTTAGCCCGAACTGAATTTTAATACACGATCCAGTACCAAAATATCTGAGGATCAAAACTTCAAACACACGACGAACTCAAACGTATCCACTGAAGAAAATGAACAAATTCCTATTAGTTGCCAACAGAAGATATGCCACTGGCATAAACGGGAAATGTTTATGAACAGACTGCGCGGATGCACAATGGTTCCCTATGCGGACTTTCACGAACTTTTAACTTTATATATAAAAAAATTGTGTTACAATTTTCAAACAATGGTATAATGTTGAGAAAATGTCAGCCAAACTGAGTTATTTTCACGTTTTTTTTTTGCGGTTGAATTTAGTTTTTGATCGTCGGTGATGGCCATAATGTTATTAAAGGTGGGTAAATCTCTAAAGATGAATGAATAAAATTTAATGAGGTAAAGTGAAATTTTTACTTCATTAAATGAATTTCTCACATTCTAAGAGACTGACATTTCTAATGGTATTTTAGATTATTAGATTACATTATATTGAAGGCGAACTAAATTTCAGCAGCGGTGATGAAAGTAAAAAGCTCAGTAACGCTTAATATGAGTAAAATTTGCTAGTAAAAGACTCTCCGATCCACATAACCAGATTGACACGTTATGTAGATTTCTAGAGGGATAAGTTTATGATGTATCATGAAATTGAAATGAGTTGAAATTTTTTATGTGGTCATTTATTTTTCTTGACGTTGATTGTTGGACCGCCTGGTAGGAATCTCTTGATAAACTCAGACTTCAGGATGCCTGAAACAAAGTAAAAATAGTTAATAAATTTAATCTATAGTTCAAAATAATCAGGATTGTTTTTTGTGGTTCAATACTTCTAGATTTACGTTACAAAACTTTCTCGCGTGTCAATGATTTATATATTTGTTTTAACAATTATACAAAAATTTCACGAATCTTTTATATTTCGTGTAAACGTGTATATATTAGATACTCATTGTCTAAAGATTAATTTCATATCGTAAATCCAAAGATGAATTCGATATTCATGCTTGAAATTTGGTCTCGTGAACGAATAAATATTACCATAATATTTTATACAAGACCTACACATGCATTTATTTAAGAACAGTCAGCGTACTGTCAAAATCACAATTCATGCAAATTTTTACAACGATTGTCATTAAAATTATGACATTATATTTTAAACCTATGTTCATTCGCTCCCGTGTTGATTTGGGTTTTGAGTCTACGTCGATTCTCTACCGTGTTGATTTGGATTTTCGGTCTGCGTCGTATTTATTTCTCTCTGCCGTATTTATTTGAGTTCACCTTCTTTATTAAATATATACTAAAGGTACACAGGAAAATCTTTCATTTTTCGCTATTTTTAATTAGACATGAAAGTAAAAACATTTATCATTAAACATTTACAAAATTAGATTCATTCAGAGGTTGAACTGCGGCTAACTATACACTTTTCATTGCACTGTAAATTCGGTGCCCAATAAATGTACTAACCTTGCATTTTAATATTGATTAGTCGCCCCAAAAAGTACAGACCCCAAACGGCAAGTGTGAACAGCAAGAAAAATACGGCGACGGCGACACGCGGCGAGGTCTGGACTTGGTATGAATAAGAATCTCTTTTGGTAAACCCTCTGTAAAAAAACCTGTTGAAGATAAATTTCCAATTAAAAAGATCACTGATGAATGTCTTACAAAGTCATGGTAGGGTGATCGATTTAACTGAGGACTTAGTAAAACATTTAACACTTATCGATTACCACGAAACGTCAAGAGATAGTGGGAGGTAAAGATATTGCATTGAGGTAAATAATATTGTAATGTTGTCAATTATGAACATACCATGTTATATATGAGGAATAATATTGCAGTGAGGCAAGTAATATTGCAATGTTGTCAATTATGAACATACCATGTAATATATGAGAATAATATTGCAGTGAGGCAAATAATATTGCAAATGTTGTGAGTTTGGAACATACCATGTAATATATGAGAAATAATATTGCAGTGAGGCAAATAATATTGCAATGTTGTCAATTATGAACATACCATGTAATATATGAGAATAATATTGCAGTGAGGCAAATAATATTGCAAATGTTGTCAGTTTGGAACATACCATGTAATATATGAGAAATAATATTGCAGTGAGGCAAATAATATTGCAAATGTTGTCAGTTTGGAACATACCATGTAATATATGAGAAATAATATTGCAGTGAGGCAAATAATATTGCAATGTTGTCAATTATGAACATACCATGTAATATATGAGAATAATATTGCAGTGAGGCAAATAATATNAGTATAGTATAGTATAGTATAGTATAGTATAGTATAGTATAGTACAGTATAGTATAGTATAGTATAGTATAGTATAGTATGGGCAACAATTTCGTGAAAAAAATTATTATACTAGTACAATTAAAATACAGATACTAAAAAGATATTTGTACGTTTAGAGTTTTTCTCACCAGCGTCGACGGGTAGATTATATAAGTGAATATTTTATTCACAGGATCTTTGACTGGAAAAAATTTTCTTAAAGTTTGCGATGCGGAGTTCGAATTGAAGCACAACTTCAAGATCAAATAACTCGAGTGCAGAAACTGAAAAAATCCGAAAAAATAGAAAAAATACCTTCATGAACTGTTTTTATTGATGCCTTTTCAACAGCAAAAACACAAAATCGAAGAATCACGCAAGAAAAAATAATTAAACTTTACAGTTCAATTTTTTATTACTTAGAGCTCATTTGCATGAATATTATTGATATATTATAATATTATGCTATGTTCAAACATAATTAACATAAAATCCTAATGATGTATTGAGTAAAGCGGGTAATTTACCATGGGTTTTCCATTAAAGAACTACGTATCTATACACATAGGAAGCTATAGGCAAAATTGATAAAATCGGCATCAATTGTTATTGGTATCATTTGGTTATATTGCACTTGAAAAGGATTTTTGTTTTTAATGGGGAACTGAGCGCCGTTTTGCTATGTTTGAATTCCCACTCTGCACGCAGTATTGCATCGTCAGCGTTGGACTTACAGCATTGAGAGCTAATAATGGACTTACAGCATTGAGAGCTAATAATGGACTTGCAGCATTGAGCGCCAATAATGGACTTACAGCAATGGACACCATTAATGGACTTACAGCACTGAACACCATTAATGTAATTACAGCACTGACTACCATTAAGGGACTTACAGCACTGAACACCATTAATGGAATTACAGCACTGAACGCCAATAATGGACTTACAGCACTGAACACCATTAATGGAATTACAGCACTGAACACTAATAATGGACTTGCAGCACTGAACACTAATAATGGACTTACAGCACTGAACACCATTAATGGACTTACAGCTTTGAATACCAATAATAATGGACTTACAGCACTGAACCCTAAAAATGGACTTACAGCACTGTAACACTAATAATGGACTTACAGCACTGAACACTAATAATGGACTTACAGCACTGAACACTAATAATGAACTTACAGAAGCACCAATGGGGACTTGCAGCACTGAACAAAAATAGTGGACTTACAGCATTAAGCACCAATGGGGACTTATAGGGGTAATAGACCGAAGTTTGATCGACGCCGCCCTCCTTCGGAGAAAAGTCCAGAGGCGTGCGCTGGAACGAGCAGACGCCCGCCCCGTAGCTTGCGAGGACTGCCAGCCCAGCGACGAGCTTCATGTCGATCATCTGAACGAACGATGAACAGAATTTGTAAATTATTAGAATTTACAACGGAATAAATTTTTTTAGATAATGAAACTTCAGGCGGATTTTGAAATAGCATTAAATGCAACTTCAGACTGGCTGTGTTTTATTTTCTTGATGAAATAATTATTATTATTTCAAATAATAATAATATAAGAAATAAAAAAAAACTTTTTTAGATAAAATTTAAAAATATTAAATTAAAAATTAAAAATGAAAAATTGTAATAATTTTATACGTAAATTTAATGCGAGTAATCAAAAATTAAGTGAGAAAATCTGTCATCATTGGTTCAAGGTTTCGCATAGGATATACGATAGGAAATTTGTTGAGCATTTGTTGGGAAAATTTGTATATGTGTTTTGGTATTAAATTTTAAAATCTTGCAAAAATTTCTCGTTGCGTCAATTCAAGTTGAAATCGAAATTTATGATTAGAGTGACGCATTGTAAATATACCAGTTTATTCAACATATTTCTTTTTAAAGAATTTAAAACTCTCAATTATTATACAATGCATTTCTTTATTGAACGCCACATTGAAGCACAATTTAGGTTGGCTCGAAATTAAATTCAATAACACGGAGGCCAGCCGGTTAAAAATAAATATTTTTCACAGATTACTAATTGATAATTAACTTGTAGGTTTTATGGTGTTGCTCGGGATTGACGATCCATGCAACATCAGAAACTCGTTATCTTGAATCCAGCTCATAAAAAGGCTCATTCATTGATGGATATAGAAAAACCTAATCAAATCCTAAATTTGTATAAACTTTATACTGACTCTATTAACTTTAATATAGCTCTCATTACATTCTCGTTTCAAAATATTAAAAAAAAAGATTTTCGCGTATTGTCAATTTGATTTATACTCGTATATATGAATTTAACTGTCATACATCAATCATTAGTCAAATTATTTCTTCTCACTTATGCAAAGCCTAACTATTCTTTTTTCTTTTACTATGAATAAATTTTCAGGTTCAGGTAATAACCGACAAGATAAGTAACCTCGATAAGCGCCCCAACAGCCCCTATATATTTACGGTTTTAAGTATTAGTCACACACAAATCAATATAAGATTGTCATAAAAATAATATTGGCGTCAACCCACTGACGTCCTACCTCAGAGGAGGCTGCTTTGCCACTGTAGTCTGGAAAGTTCGTGGAGTGCGTGAAAAAAAAAAACAGTTTTCGCACAAAGCAACACGTCCACCATCAAAAAAAAGGTTCACCCATCGGCTGCTTTGAACTCTATTATATATTATATCTTGCTTTACTCTGTTACACATTAATAATTTTCAGAGGATCATCAAGTGCCGGGTTGATGATACAGTAGTCCATGTTTGTCAAAATGAAATCGCCATATCTGGTTCAGTAATATAATAAAAAATGCTATTGTCATCACCAACTCAAGAAATTTATCAAGAGCATAAAAAAATGCTATTGTCATCACCAACTCAAGAAATTTATCATGACAAGTTTTTAGGTAAAAATATGATCGAAGAAAATGTCTCTGCAATGAGAAACAAACGTACTCAGTGGATGACATGTGTATGCAATGAGTTAATTAACCTCTAAGATCATACATATAGCGCCAGGTAACAATATAATGTTGCGATTATATCTACATTATAAAATTGCAAAATAAAAGTAAATATGGTGTAATCTATTTAAATAAGTGTTAATAGTGAAATCTATGCAAAAAATATCTCCAAGTATATAATGATTTCAACATTATTTCTCCTCTCGACTTCCATGCATACACAAAACAAGAATAAATTTTACACAACTTTTAATTGACAACTTGCTGCAATTATTACAGCTGAAAAAACAATTAAGAGAGCATAACTAAAAATAAATTTTTATTTTTATCACTGAAAAAGAACTGGAATTGTTAGAACATTCGTTATTATGGATTCGTTACCATTCCTTACTGTTATTCCACAGTCCATCTGAAGTTTCATTGACTGTTATTTTATAGCCAGTCTGAATATTCATTGACTTTTATTTCACCGCTAATCTGACGTTTCATTGACTTTTATTTCACAGTCAGTCTGAAGTTTGATTTACTGTCATTTCACAACCAGTCTGAAGCTTTATTGGCTGTTATTTCACAGTCAGTCTGAAGTTTCATTGACTGTTATTTAATGGCCCCTCTGAAGTTTCATTGACTTTTATTTCACAGCCAGTCTAAAGTTTCATTGACTTTTATTTCACAGTCAGTCTGTGAAGTTTGTTTTGCTGTCATTTCCCAGCCAGTCTGGAGTTTAATTTACTGTTATTACACAGCCAGTCTGAAGTTTAATTTACTGTTATTTCACAGACAGTCTGAAGTTTTGTTAACTGTTATTTCACAGTCAGTCTGAAGCTTTCTTGGCTGTTATTTCACAGTCAGTCTGATGTTTGATTTGTTGTTGTTTTACAGTCAGTCTGAAGTTTGCTTTGCCCTTATTTCACAGTCAGTCTGAAGTTTGATTTGCTGTCATTTCTGCTGGTATTGCTTTGCAGTATTTATTTAATAAATGTTGCATTAAAATAATTAATAATAATATAAACAATATTAATAAATATAATAATAAAAAAATAATAAATATAATAATAAATATAATAATAAACATTAAAAATAATTAATGTACTAATGTTTTAGAATAGAATTGTTCAAGGCTGAAGCTTGAGCCATGATAGATTTTATAGATTTAACCTTTTATTCATAGGATGTTAATAAAAAGTAGTGAAACAACCAAAAAACATTGACACGATAAACACTGGTGTTACCGAGTCACATGCAAGCAAGCCTTCAGTATATTTCCTTGGATTTTTTTCCCAGCTGGTAGGTGGCAATTTTCTAAATTATAGGAAAATTACTCGGTCTCCGCTTCAAACAAAAAAAAAAAAAAAAGAAATAAATAAATAAAGTAAAATAATAATAATCAATCGGAAAATAGTTTCAATGTTTCAAGGTTATGCGTATACAGTCATATGCTAATGCGAACACAGCTAAGGTAGCTAATGTTTTATTTCCAGCGGATAATTAAAAAATATGATTAGTAAAAGAAATCGTTCAGTTGCCTCATTCGTTGTTAACAATTTGTTCTAATGAGAATCAAGAACAAATAAAAATATCAGCAAAAAGGCAGCAAGCATTACATTCAACCATTATTTTTTGTGTGTTATTTAGACTATTTGCAAGTATTACGGCGAAAATATTATTTAAAATTGAATTTCCTTTACAGATAACTATTTCCAATGGAAAATACACTAATTTAACAGTCTCTCTATTTTTTATATCCAGTGTACAGTGCGTTTGTATCCTTAAATCTCAAATAATATACGTTTAAAAACACTTATTAAAGACAAAAATTCTAAAGACTCCAGGGTCTCCGATGTTACACATGTACAATGAATTTCTCATTTTATTTTCGAATATTAAAAAAATTAATTTTTCAATTTTTTAATATACAAAAAAAATTTCAAAATTATTTATTCTGTCAATTGATTCATTCATTGCCTCCGACTTCACACAAGTGTGCAAAATTTCAGATCAATTGGACAGGTAAAAGTTTGTCAAATATCATTTATAAGATTTGTAGCTGACAAAATTATTTTCAAAATTTTTAAAATTGGAAAAAAAATTATTTCTAAAATCATTTATTGTGTCATTCGATTCTTTCATTGTCTCCAACTTTACGCAAGTGTGCAAAATTTCAGATCAATAGGATAAGTAGAAGTGTGTTAAATTTAGATTATAAGATTTGTAGCAGACAGACAGACAGACATACAAACAAGAAGCGAAGTTAAAGAGAAGTGTTGTCCTGCCAAGAATATTTTTATCTGATTATTTTACTTTTTTATCTGATTTTTCAGCTGATGTCATGAACTTTTTCGTTGCCAAGCATTTTTCTCCTTAGCCTAGTGCCAAACATGTCCTAGACATGTGAAGGCAATTTTTTTTCTAATCATTTTCGTGTTCTATGGATTTATGTTTAATGGATCCATTCAGTGTCCATTTTCATTTTCGAAACGTATTGGTCTTCAATTTCACCACAAATTTATATGAATAATACCTTAGATTTTTTTCGATTTCGATTGACGTTTGCGCGTTTCATTAAAATCTCATGTTTCCCATTATTCTAAATAAATGACAAATTGATATTATTTTGCAGTGGAAATCTCGAGTTGATATTATGTTGCAGTGGAAATCTGAAGTTGATTTTACGTTGCAGTGGATATCTCGAATTGATATTATGTTGCAGTGAAAATCTCGAGTTGATATTATTTTGCTGTGGAAATCTCGAGTTGACTTGAGGTGTCCACTAGACAGCGATCTCGCGCACCTAAAACGGTCAGCATTTATCGCTAGTGACTCAGCGATAAATTCAGGGAACAACAATGTCTCTTCTCGATTGTCTGGGTAAGCCCTTCCTTCAACTTTTTTTACAAACGGAGTGATGTGAGGGAATTTGCAATAGAGTTTATGCTAATTTGCACGTTCGGTTGACATCCTAGTCCTTCTTACTGGGAATTTTTGGCTTGAAAAAAAAAAACAACAACCGTACTTCTGTCGTCCAGGGCGTTATTTTTGCTAACAAAACCTTATGCAAAATAAATGCTCAGTATGGCTGAAATTTTACGACCAGTGGGGTATCTTGTCACAGGATCGTATCTATAATGCAAACTTTAGACGAGCTTATTAAAAAAGTTGGAATTTTATGCGAATTTTTATTTATGCTACAATTTTTTTCCTTACGCCACAATTTTGTAGGTTTGTGCTTTCTTAATGTGGTCTTAATTGAACGGATGTTTAGTTTAAAAAATTAGCGTGAATGATGCAAATAACCTGCATTTTCTTAAAATTTTAAATAAATATAATTATCTGGTCGTTTTTTTTCTTACAATTTTCTTCATAGGTAGTCAATTGAGTCGACATTGTTCAATTTTTTATCCATATTATTATTTGTCTCTTAAACGTTTGTCTTATTGGTCTATAAACGTTTGTATTAGCATTATTGGAACCGATTATTGGTCTCTTAAACGTTTGTATCAAAAGAGATGAATTTTCCCTGTAATTGAGTTATTAGTTAAGCTCGAATACATACCTATTATTAGGATTTAACACTCATTCCGGGTGCATATAAATATTTATTTCAGAATTTCAAGCACATTTTGTTCTGGAAATCGGCCCAACTCAAGCCTAAATATTAAACTTCATAAAATATACAATAATCTGAAAGAAGGAGCCAATTTGTGAATCTTTGCACCAATAGATTCGTCAATCTCTTGGCCGTACCGCGTTACAGCAGTTTTTATCAAAAAAATGTGACGTCGCAAGACAGAAGAATGTTAAATTGGCAGTCATTGTTATTTTTGGTAATTAAGAGCAAATAGACCGTGCATAAGATTTGTTACCTACTGCTTTGTTTATGTACTCGGATGATTGGTGTGTAACGTTATTATATACTTACTACTATTTTATCAAGTAATGCATTGATAGTTCAAAGTAATTCATTTGATCATGAATAAGAGTTCGATTAATCTAAAAAACGAAGGTGAGGGTTGATGTTAACGAATATCCAATCACCCAATTGAGGAGTTTATATTAAGAAAATTTACCTTTTGATATCTTATGAGTACGATAGTCCAATTTGCACCTGAAAAGGTGATTATTTTGTTTTTCGTTTTAAAAATAATACTTCTGCAAGTTTAATTAGATATGAGTAGCATAAAAGATTTGAAAACTAATAATGAGTGTGAAAAAAGTCTTCTACGAGAAGTTATCTATTACGCTACCTCTGATAAAATTTTTACCCTATACCTGATACAAGTTTTACCCTACACCTGGTACAATTTTTACCCTACACCTGGTACAAACTTTACTCTACACCTGATGCTATTTTTACCCTACACCTGATACAATTTTTACTCTATACCTGAAGTAATTTTTACCCTACACCTGATGCAATTGTTACCCTACACCTGATACAATTTTTACTCTACACCTGAAGCAATTTTTACCCTACACCTGATAGTAATTTTTACCCTACACCTGATGCAATTGTTACCCTACACCTGATACAATTTTTACTCTACACCTGAAGCAATTTTTACCCTACACCTGATGCAATTTTTACCCTACGCCTGATACAATTTTTACTCTACACCTGATACAATTTTGAAAGTAAAAACCAGCGGTAAAGAAATAAATGAATAACAGTTGAAATATCTGACGGAAAGAGTTTCTGTTGTAAAGAATGAAAATGTAAACGGAAATTATTTGCGAAGAAGACTTGGACATTTGGAGTGAGTGCGCGGACAAGTTTTCTGTGCGATGAAATCCATGACGCTGCCGTCTTCTGAAGGAATGGAACTCGTGAAAGAGCTGTACAACTCAACTGTAAAGCTGCCCGGGAATATCTGTTGGGACGAAGATTTAGGTTTAGTTAAAATTTTTTAGTTAACAGTAAGTTAGTCTAGTCAACACTTGCTGTTAATACCATGCGTTAAAATTTATGTTTTTTAAGACAACAGTAACTGAATTGAATTAAGACTGTTGTACAGTAACTGAATTGAACATCTTTAATAGTTTTTGTTTCAAATAAATCATTTAATTTTTAACTGCATTGGAAATTTCGTCGAAGCACACCGCAGGTACAGATTTAAGTTCAAGTAAAATAAGCGTTTTTAGGCTGTAAATACCAGGCGTTGTTTAAACTTATGTTTTTTATACAAAAAATATTGCATTAAATAAATTATGTTTTTATCTAATTAATGTGTTGATTTTAATATGGCAGCTTGATTGATTTTTTAAAAACAAAAAACAGGAAGGTTTCGAATTAATTCTTTGCGAAGAACTGCAGTTTCCATTGTACATATGCACAGGTTTCATAGAAAATGAGTTTGTTGCAGAATTTGTAGCAAAATGATTAATACACATTAATATTTTATTGTCTAAAATAGTATTGTCGCTTTAATGCATTTTATAATATCACGTGTTCACTGTCTGAATTATAATTCGCAACTTTATATTCAATTCACGATTTTACTGTACTTTATTTTCAATGTTCGTTTATTCATCTAATTCACCATCAGCTGAAATAATGGACATAAGAATGTCCTTTTCACTTTTTAAAGAATAATGTCCTTTTCATGAATTACAATGCCTCAATGAGTTAAATTGGCAGATAAAATTTTAGCAGTTGTTCCGTTTAAATTATGAGAAAAAGAGTGTCCTAAGTGTTGGAACTAACCGGTAATAGATTTGATATTGAGTGTTAATTTGTAAATTTTAATCAGTTGCTGGAAAAGTCGTTCAAAAAATGTCTGAAAAAATGAATTAGAAGCACATAAGATAAAACGTTGAAAAATCACCTGTAAATACTTATTTATGCAATCAATTCTTACCAAATTAACTAACTCAAAATAACATCCTAAGTAATTCCGCTGCTAACATCGCAACTTACGACAGTACCTACGAGACTAACGATTTAATTCACTATACTTACGACATCATCGGGGCCCACTAACGCCTTGTCACTATGAAACAATGCGTGGCTGCTGATATAGTACACAGGATGGTGAGCTGTCTTTGCGTAAACGTCGATAGTGCAGTTGAACTTTTCTTCATCATCATTATCAGTCAATAGTGTCGTGTTTGCCATGTTCCTCACTTTTGATTCTTTTCTTGTCAACCTTTTCCCGCTGAGTTGTGAATCTGAAAAATAATGCCGGAACGATTCATTCAAATGTTTAAGACAAATAATTGTGATTAGCCGCTGGCTTATATGTGAAGAAATATATTGATGTGATATTGTACAAATCGTCTTTCAATTATAATTAATTTAATTTAGTTAAATAATTATTAAAAGATTTTATGTACGTTTAAGTTCGACCCATTTCCAGTACGACATGTTCGAGAAATTCTAAATTATCGTATTTGAATAATCAAAATGAAACTATAGCTGCCATTCGGCAACCATATGCAAAATTCCGTCAGTGAAGCTTGAAATTATTGATAGCATTTATTACTTGCATCCTCCACGTGGCAAAAGCCCGGTTGTCTAAACCCGACTGACCGTTGACTGCTATAAAACGAGACAGGCAAAGAATATTAATACTGCTCTTCCACTCATAGTTTTTGCTCGACTAGTACTAGAGTTTTAATTTAAATTAAATTAGTACCATTGCTGATAACCAAGCGTTGTCCAATTTGCTCATCGGGCGCGGGATATTTGGCTGGGGCGTTTTGGGGCGTGATGACATTCCTAGTGCATTTATTACTTCTCATGAAGTTGCTTATGCCCATTGGGCCAACAGCATTATACAAAATTCCCTGTAAGATTAGACTATGTTATAATTGTTGGAATATATAGATGCATTAAAGTTTTTTTAGTAATAACACAGAGATTTATTTTATAATGTCTAGATAATATATTTCTATACTACAAGTGGAAACCATTCAAATCATGTTAACTGAATAAATTTAGGCCAAATTATCTCAATGGTAGTTGAAAATTCTCTTCAACTTAAGCATTGCTTAGTACACAGCGGGCCTTACACTAGTCAAAAATTTGTAGATAGAAATGAAAATTTTCAGAAATTTTCGACGTTTTTTCTGAATCACAGCACTTGAGTTGCCAATCTTTAATTGTTCATTAATCTGACAAGCATCGGTTGAAGTCTATCAAAATAGAACAAAATAACAAATCCTTCATTTTAAGCGCCTGTGTGGCAGCAAAAATCGCTGTGCACTGTGTTTCTGGCATCAAAACTACTGTTTTGCTGTGTAAAACTGTGCTTCGGGCAGCAAAACTATTATGCTACAGTTTAAAGCCGTGTTTGTGTCTCAAAACTATTTAGATACTATGTTAAGCTTTTTTTTTGTTCATCAACCGGATCAATATGAATATACATACATGTACAACCGGATTAACGAGTCTGGTTATCTGCACAAGCTACTTTAGGCAAACATTCCAACAAAAGCTATACAAAAATAAACCTTTACGGGACCCAATTTACGACAAGAAAACTGCCTGAACGAAACATTTCGTCGAGTGGATGGTCCAGTAGTGAAACCTACTTTTCAACAAGCTCTATACACTTATAAAACCGATTAAATTAAAAAGAACCTATTTGCCTCATATAAGGAAGTATTCTAAACCACGCATTGGAATCGATTGAAATATTTTTTTTCTTGAAATAACAATTAAAGTACACGGACTTAAATTTAAGCGCTACATTTAATACCTTTAATAAGAAAATGTTTTCTTTTGTAGCCCTTTCCGTATTAGATTGATTATATCACAAGTTTTTTTTAATTGTTAGTTAAAAATAGAACCTCTAATCAATATCCGGTAAAGTTCTAGTTATGACTTTTATACTAAAAAAATAGCTAAAAATTATTGTAAGGGCAGCTTCTGACAGCTACATAAAAATTTCTAAATCGATTCATCCCTTCATTGCACTGTGAATCTATAGAGCATTTATTACAAAAACGCAAAGCTTTACAATTCATTTAACATTGCGAATATCTCCATAATGACAGTCAATAAAATTATGTTTACTAAATAAAATCGCTAGTTTTTATAGGTCCAAATTATTGGTTAATAATATTTAATCATTCACAATGTGAGGAGTAAACAGACGTAGCATGACCATCGAACAAAAACTAAAGAAACTATTGCCTTTACTAAAGTACTCATTCCTATCGATTCCTTCTTTGTTGCGATTCAATCCCCTACTTATTACACGCACTAATTAAAGCTACGGAATTTGGTACATTAAAAAGATGGTTACGAAATAATTTATACTTACACTCAAGAAGGGCCAGTAACTGTCAGCAATGAAGCGCAGTAGTCGTCTCGGCATCGGATGGTGGCGCTCGAAATGGAACAACGAACAGCCAACAATTGTGCCTTCGTCATCCTGATGAAAAAAAATTATTATTGAATTAAAATTACTTGCTATTAATGCCTAATGATAATTAATTGCTAGGACCCCGATGGAAGAGTCCGCTGCACTATCCATTTTGACACTTACTAATGTCCAATTACAATTAATGTACAATTAACTTAAGGAAATACCTACGGGAATGTGAGGTACAATATCGATTACGGAACCACTGGAACGAATTTAAGGGCATTGAGAGAATGCCTCAATTATTAGTTAGAATGCTCACATGTCGTGTTTAATTGGTAAATTAAGTGAATTAACTGTGTTCACTTTTGTGGTTATGAACCCATCAAGGCCCAAATAATGGGTCAATAGTAATAAATTAGTCTTGCAAAGAATAAACAGATGTAGCGCAACTACTCTAAATGAAGTAAACGAAACTATCACTTTAAAAAAATATTTTTATATTTGTTAGGAATTATTTTCTTATTCATTACATTACCTCAGATCCGTAAAAATTTATTGAATTTTTTTTAAAGGGTCGCAGAGCTATGATGTCGTAGTCGACGTACATTCCTCCCGAGTTGTACACGACTGCGTATCGTAGCAGGTCGCTCAAGTGAGGTAGCAGGTATACTGTAAAAAAACTCTCATTGTCAAGCGATGGCACGCAATAATAGCGAATATATGTAAATAAATTGAGCAGCACTGTATAGTATAAAAAGCATTCGTTACTTCGTCAGTCAATCGCTGACTGTGTTTTACAGTAAGTCCACCAATTAGAGACAAGAAATGGGCCGCTACGTGTACAAAAGCCGCTACGTGTACAATAGCCGCTGCGTGTACTTGGACCGTTACGAGTACTTATACCACTATCGCAGTATGTCACTCTCGGGGAACATAACTTTCTACTTAAATTACAAGTAAACTACTAAGTGTAGCAACTGAGGACGTTTGTACGCAACAGAGAACATTTTAAAGTTGTCGTACGTGGCAGCAACCATCAGTGCAAGTCATTTTGCGTTCACTAGAACGTATCCTTTTTGGGAAGTTGGCGCGTGACAATATTGCTCCGGTTACTCATGTCAGGCGGTAGAGGGTTAAGCAAGTTTTGATTGTACCATTCACAAGACCAACCACTTACATGTATTCCAGAAAGAGTCAGACTCAAGTAACGCATGCGCAGGAGTGTCACGCATGACAACGCGCACGTTCATGTGCGCCACGCAGAGACGCTGGCAAATTTCCTGCAAATTCCGCAAACTTGCGGCGGTCGAAGCGTGCAATTTCTCGCGCGTCACCAGCAACCAGACGTGAGCGTCGCCGTTCACGGTGCACATGCTGAGCCATCAAAATAATTTTTTTTTCAAATCTCAGAGATTAATTTGTATTGGAAATATAAAATTAATGTATACACAACAAAATGAACAAAGCTCGCATAGGCAGATATTTGTGGTTAATCAGAGACAAATTAAGTTTCTTTGAACAATGCTCATGGAACACTCAGTGTGACATAAAAACTTTAATTCGAGAGTGAAAAGAGTTTCAACTTCTGATACCGATGGTGTTAGATCAGAGCTAAGATGAGGTTTCTACCTTGTGTTATATGTACATTCACTTAACGGCAATTGAACTATATAGGTGAAAATTATTCCTTCAATTTTGAAATTTTTAAGGGTGATTACATCATTAAGGTGAATAATACGATTTAAACAATTTTTCAGTGTTTCTGTATTAGGTTCTAAGGTTTGAATTGCCCTGAAAATAAAATATCTGACCAAACGATCGGAACAGAAATTATTTGTTTCTATTACTCACTAGTTTATTACTAGTTTAAATTAGTATAAAGCGAGTACACTTGCCTTTCAATGGAGCACAATGTTTTGCTCGTGATGTTGGACTTTAGGCTTAAGTCCATCATGTAAATGTTCTGCTCGGCAGGGTCGGGGGCCACGTCTCTGTCAATTCAAAGCATGACACTATTTATAAAAATGGAAAAAATAAATACAACTCATACCAAAAATAAATAAATACAACTCACGAAGAAAAACTATACGCGTATTTGGAAAATTCAGTTACTTCACCAAGTTTTTTACTTGTCTGTTTCATTGAAGCTGAAGTCGAGTGTGTGACATAAGTCTTTAGCTGGACTGTAAAAATTTCAAGTGCTCCTGAATTTCAGGGGAATAGTTTTAAGATTTCGCGATGAAAGTTTCACACATGTCTCTCTGTGTATTTTCAAGTTAACTTTATAGAAGACGATCATGAAATGCATCTTTTACCTGCAGACTTGGCACAGTCAAGAGTATTTTACTCACATCTATAAACGCGAAAGACTGAATTGAACTTGAATTCACAGAGAAACATATCTAGATGTTGTGAAGAAAATTTCCTCAATCCAACATGTTGTTGCCTTGAGGCATAGGAGATATGTTGAAGATATATTATAATGTAACAATAGATGATAAGTTTTACAGTTTTACTCACACGTACAAACGCGGAAGACTTTTTAGTGCCGGATCATTGACTCCAGGTAAGCAGCCAACGGTGGGGGGCGCGGAGAGCGGTCCGGGATCTTGCTTCTCACCGTAACCGTAGGCTTCCCTTCGCCGCTTGATTTCTTTATTTGGAACTTCTGCAATAAATTGTTCTCAGAGTCGTTAAATAATATGAATTTTGCAAACCATAGCAATAGTTTGTTATATTACTGCAATATATTGTAATCAGAGTCTTTAAATAATAGGAGTTTTTTACGAATCATAGTGATAGTTTATAAAATTACTGCAATAGACTATATTCTCATTCATTAAATAGCTTAATCTTTTACAAATCATAGTGATAGTTTATAAAATTACTGCAATAGACTGTATTCTCAGTCATTAAATAGCTTAATTTTTTACAAATCATAGTGATAGTTTATAAAATTACTGCAATAGACTGCATTCTCAGTCATTAAATAGCTTAATTTTTTTGCAAATCATAGGAATAGTTTATAATATTACTGCAATAGACTATTCTCGGTCAATAAATAACTTGAGTTTTTGCAAACCATAGTAATTGTTTGTAATATTACTGCAATAAATTGTAATCAGAGTCATTTATACACGCTTTGATTTTGATTCAATTTATACAGGTTAGGTATTTATGATATTTATACTGTTTGTTCAAAAATGTCTGTCATAAATTTTCTGTCCTAACAGACTTTTTTGTATAAGCACTGAAATTTTGAATGAAAATTCTCGCGTAAATTTATGGAACAACTAGCAGGATTTGTTCATGCACTATAGAATCCGAAGCATATCCTTCACTAGAAATATCATGCCATTTATATCATGACAAATGCAATGTAATATGTAAATGTCTTATTGTAAATCAAAATCACCTCGTAAAATTGCGAACATAACTGTCACTGCGATGCCGAGCATGATCACAATTAGCCACCCTGATAAATCTGTTGAGCACGATAAATGCAATCAATATGATGGGATAAAAACAATCAATATAATCAACCTAAGAATTAAATGACTAAAATTTGTTAGAAATGTTAGTAAAAATTGCAATAAAATGTCAGTAATGTTAGTGAAATTGTAATTATCATCATTATTATATTAATGTCCTTTTAATCATTATTTTTTTAGCTCGCTCGAGGATAACTATAGGAATACTTGTCTGACGTAATATGGAAGGTTGTTTCGGTATGTCGAAATATTGATATATTATTGCCACAGTTGTTTCGTTACTATTCATGTTCGTTGTCTTAGATTGGAATATCTATTGCAAAGAAGCAATCGGCTTGAAGTTTAGGCCGTATTTTTATGTTACATGGAAGAAAAAGTATCTAATAACACTAATGAAGCAATTTAGGTTCAAAGCTAACTGGTCTGTAGTTTGCAATGGATTTGGCGCCAGAAGTAGTCGTTTGTCTCTAGCCTTTGAATTTGAATATTAATGAGGCATGCTGATATTTACATCCAAGAGTCGAGGAAAATATTATATTTCAAGTCCAATGCAGCACTCTGCTTCTAGAAAAAGTACGCAAAATGGTGAATTCATTTTCAATTTCAATCAAAATTTACTATTTTCATAAAGAAGAGTTGCCATCCTTTCATGATGATTGTTAGCAGACACCCAGCAAGTAACTAAATTAAATAAAAAAGTTTAATTTAAAGGCGCTATGATTTAAGTTTTATTCGATCAATCTAAAGAAGGACACGATGTGAAGTTAGAAAGTCTTTAGTTCGTGTCGGCTCAAAGATATTATCACGACATTTTGATAAGTCCTTGAACAATGAAAATATTTGGAAATATTGAGTCTGGTTACTTTAGTTTGGTAATATTTAACGCAAAACTAAGCGATAATAAACTAACAATAACGCGATGAAGAGCCGTAATAAATGGATACGTATGTAAAGGGGAATGGGCCATGATAAAAATTACAATAAAATGTTAATAAGTAAGTCGGAAATTTAATATAGAACTTATTGATGATGAAATATAAATTCATACTTGAATGAAATAATCAGAGTATCACGTACTCTTCGTCCAAAGGCCCTCACATCGAGCTATTGATCTGTCCTAAATATTTACTACATCGAAAATATTGTAGTCAGATTTGTCATGAATGGCCACTACTACACATCTTCACGTTCTATTGTCATTTGGAGGGATTTGCTTCTGTGACTAAGCAATTTTTTTGCAAATGAACTCAATGGTTAAAACTATTACTTGCATAAATACGATTACTTGTATTTACACCATGATGAACAAACTTACTTGCATGAATACCATGATGATTAGTGTTACGCGCATAAACTCAATATTATATTATTCACCATATGGTGTACAACTACAAAAAACACAATGGTGTCTTATTTAACTTTCATTAATTCAATGGTGACTGATACTCCTCGCATTAACACAAAGATGAATATTATGGTACCGAAGTACGTTTTATTGCAGAATTATTACCTAATTTATTGCTAGAGCCCATCATTCGTCCTCTGTCACGCTTGGTCATCGAGTTGCTACTGACGCGAAACCTCGTACGGGAGGCTGTCCCTGCCACGATGTAAATAAGAAAGCCAAACAATTATTTTCCCTCAGCTTTGTAGTCAGAAAATGCGACTTCAGCAAGTAGTTTTGGACATCACTCTTATATTGTTGCGCAATCCCTGTTAGGTTCATACGAAAATGTTGATAGTAACGTATTTGCAACTGAACTATAACATATTCGTATTTGTAGCATTTAAACCAATATTACACGTTTTCATATGCTTATGGGATAATTGTCCAGCTATTAGTTGACAAATGGACATCATTATAGGCACATGACAAGCTCAAATAAGGCAAAACTTCACGAAAACATCAAACAAAAAATTAGAATAAAATAAATAATGATATATGTATAGATATTCGCCAAACGGTATGAATATCAGACTACTTTTTTAGCTAGTCAACAAGATAAAGCAGATTTTTTTCATATCGGTTAGCAAACATACGCTGGGTAACCGTGAAAGTTTATCTGTATTATCGTTGAAAACAGTACAGAAATCGTAAAGGCATTGGATTAATAGATTTGGTTATGTGTATACATGCTTCATGAATAATTTCATTGAAACGTACTTCGGAAAATTCAAATTACAAAGACAGTATTGACGATTTTATTAGATCTTAGAAACTTATATGCGTCTTCGAATAATAATTTGAATTCGAAACTTCAACGCCATTTCTGATACATGACAAGATGGACATACGCCCTGAGCAAGCAACGCAGCACATCGCTAGTCTGTAATTAAGTGATGTTACTAACATAGAATAAAGCTTGTTTGATTACTAAAATTTTGAATGGAGAATTACGAGTAAATTCGTGGAACAAATAGCAGGATTTGTGGAACAAATAGCAGGATTTGTGGAACAAATAGCATCAGTCTTCTTTTCACAACTGTTGGTTTAGCGAAAAAAATGTCACAATATGTTGAGAGTTTTTTCAATGACCAGTTCGGAAACTATTTCAAAAGCTCCATTCGTTTTTTATTTTCAAAACTGGTTAGTCCTGAATTTAATTTTTTACCACAAAATTATTCTAGCTTCATCTTCTTCATTTGAAAAATGTTTGTGACTTTCCGTTGAAGTCAATCTTCTTAAATCTTCTTCCACAAAATCTTCTTCCACATTTTTTTCATATGGTGAGATGTGAGAGAATTATTCTGATAATTTAGATTCATTTGCACTTTGTGTTGATGTCGCCGTTCTTCTCACCGAGAGGATTTTGCATAAATAAAAACGTCGTTCGTCCTGTACTTTTTCTTGCAAAGCGACTTTATGGAACATAAATGCGCCCTACCAGTGTAATAATTTCGAGGGTTGTTAGCTTCTGAATAAAAGGGGCCTTTAGCCCGTCCAGCGCGTAAATTAGCGGCTCTATATGTCCGCTTTAAGCTCTGGTTATATGAGCGGAATAAGCTTCTGATTAGAATCCGGTCATGGACCGACTGAGCTTGGAACGATCGTGGGGAGCGCATATTTGGCATCCACATATTAATCCAGTTGGAGAGATGACTTAAAGATTTGATTAAGTAACTAAAAGATTAAATAAACTAAACGATTAAATGACTAAATGAGATTAAATAACTAAATTAGATTAAATGACTAAATTAGATTAAATGATTAAATTAGATTAAGTGGCTAAATTAGATCAAATGGCTAAATTAGATTAAATGACTAAATTAGATTAAATGACTAAGTTAGATTAAATGACTAAATTAGATTGAATAATTAAATTAGATTAAATGACTAAATTAGATTAAATGACTTAAATATTAGAGAGATGACCTAAAGATTAAAGATCAGAATATGAGCAGGCAAATTTGAGCAGGCAAAAAAAAAATACTTGATAAAAAACTAACCAGTTTTCCTTCACAAATGAATTTTTTTCCAATCATATATGTCATAGTATAAGGAAGGCAACACAATGGAAAATTACGTGTTAATTTCAACAAAACTTGTCCGGGCTGCAGTAACTTAATTTCGGCAGCCACCGCTCACACCTCACAACAGTCAACAAGTGATTTTTTTCTGTAATCCATGTACCGCCACTGCACTAGAAGTAGTGAGTTCTTAAATAAAGTTCTTCTCAAGCTTTCAAATTATCAACTGTACTTGAAATTTATGGAGTGACAACTAAAAATATAACAGAATATACGATAGTAATGGATATTCAAATAAGCTGTTCACAAATTGAAACCCATTTGAACACTTTCTTCTTCGGCTTCAGTTTGCTTGTACGCTATATTGTACACACCGCCATGACAGCTAGGGCAGCGCGAACGTTCATATGCAATTAATAATAATTATAATAATTATTATGCAATAATCAATAATTAAGCTGTCGGCTTGCTTAATTTCATCTAATATAGCATATCTGCAAGAGCTACTTCTTTGCCGGTCAAGCAGAGATATGCCCGAAGCTGAACATTTCTATTGTTGGAGAAACCATTATTTCGTGGGCTTGCGGAATAGTGAATGAGTGATTTCCAGATAATTGGAAATCGAGGAAACACTTCCACAAGCACTCGCAATATTATTTTTATCCTTTTTAATGTCTATAAGTGCTCACTGAAGGAGACAAAACTATTCAAACCTCTTTGAAAATAAATGATCATTCTTTACTACGTCCTGCGTCAAGTTTTAACTGACGCCATGCTGGCTTGCGGCAACGGCGACTGACGATGAATGTCTAGACGATTAATGCGATTCATCTCACCAGCTACCTGTACGTAGTCATCCTAAAAGCACTCGAAGTATTTTCCGACCTTTTCTAGGATTTGCAAAACAATAACTCGATGGTATTGTGCCGGACCTGCTCCATCGATACAGTGGCTCAACGATTATGCCAGAGCTGAGTGAAGGGGCGGGACAGATATCCCCTATACAGAGTGACGGCTTATAAAGCCTTGCCCAAGTAAGAGCGTCATACAGGGCGTTACAGTGAGCCTAATTAAGAGACTAATATTGTCTGACTCGATATTATCTTATCGGATGCTTTCCCCGAGAAGTTTGATCGTCTTCGATCAGATGAAATAAAGGTGGTCCTGTTATCAAATGCAAACCCATTATTAACCCTAAAACAATAAGTCTTAATTCGAAGCGTTAAAATTAGAATAAGGTCCGAAATCTAGAAGAGTAAAACAGTGAAAATTCGCTAAATGAGAGTAACTCATGACTTTAATTTATATAAAAAACGATTTTGATTAAAAATTAAATTAAAATTACATTTACCCAATACATTTCATTAATGAATAAGACGAACTGATCTAAGTGTTGTCTGATTACGATATTTTTATACAAGAAACTTTTTCGAGGCTAATTGTATTCTTGAAAGCCTATTTGGGCAGAATGCAGCAAAGGACTATAGAATGTGAGCAAATGATTACACTAGTAATTATGAAGCACTAATTAATTCTTGTTCAGAGGTCGACAACTTTTTCTGCCCGTTTGCCCATTGACATGATATTTGTATTTACGTTGCCCCTTCCGTTTACGTAAATACAAAAGGCGCAAAAATATTCAACCATTATTAACTTTTTTCAGGATAAAAAATTGATATAATTGTCACCTATACATATATCGAAAGAAGCTTATGCTACACCCTAGCCAATGTTTGAATAAAAGAGGACGTCTTCGTTGATAAGACTTGATATGAATGAAATGATTCAGCTTGATGAACGTCAGCAAGCCAATATTGACCAGGAAAATGGCCCTGCTTCTACTTCGTGCTTGGAATAATTTGTAGTACAGCTAACACATCAGGCAATCATATAAATAAACTCATTCGCAAAGATATGGAAGATTGAATGGAACACAATTTAAAGAATTTAAGATAATCCCAATCAACCGAAAAATACAACCGACAACTTCGACGACGAAAAAAATACTTCCCCTACACAAGAATAGAATAGAAGTGTCGGCGTTGAAGAAATAGGCCCATGGCCTGTTGCCGATTCTTGAACCTTTCGTGACTTGATTCACAAGGGATCCGGCCTTTGGAACCCGATTTTTCTATAGCTGACTCGGAGCTTCAACGATGCTATCAGGGAGGCTGTTCCACATGTCGGTGACTGAGTCTCTCCTGCCATTTCTTGCGAAAATTTTCTCTCTCTAAAGGGGTAGCATCCTTCTTAACAAAGACTGAATTAAACTCTGGGAATTCACTTAGTTTTTTAGAGGTAAGCTTGGCCATAAAAACAAGGGCTCTATTGTTCTACGCTGGCTAGGCAGTGCTGCACGTTGCCCTCGCCTGGCCTGCTTGCGGCCCTCGCTGACTCTAGATCGCGTTATTTCAGATGGAAACACTTTTACTATAGGATTTTTTTCTATTTGCACTCTCTTTTACTGACTTCACTAAAAAATTCAGTCATTCACTGACACGGATCATAAAAAAATGCAAAAAGAGTTCCGAAAACGGCACAGTTAAAGTTAAAAGTTGAAAATCTGGGACCGCAAAACACGAGCGTCCGCTCTCGACCACGGCTGAATCTTGACTCTTGACTTCATACCTTGAATTTATATAAAAAAAACGATTTCGATTAAAAATAAAATTGCATTTACCCAATACATTTCATTAACGAATAAGACGAACTGATCTCATTGGTGTCTGATACCGATATTTTTATATAATAAACTGTTTCGAGGCTGATTGTATTCTTGAAAGTCTATTTGGGCAAAGGCAGCAGGACTATAGAATGTGAGCAACTGATTACATGAGTAATTATGAAGCCTTAATTAAATTAATTCTAGTTCATAGGTCGACAACCTTTTCTGCCCGTTGACCCCTTGACATGATATTTGTATTTACGTCAGCCCCTCCGTTTACGCAAATACAAAAGGCGCAAAAATATTCAACCATTATTAACTTTCTCTAGGATAAAAAATGATATAATTGCCACCTATACATATATCGAACAAAGCTTATGCTACACCCTAGCTAATGTTTGATATATCGAACAAAGCTTATGCTAC